AGTCTAACCTTTGTACGTGTAGGTTAGATTAGTCTAACCTTTGTACGTGTAGGTTAGATTAGTCTAACCTTTGTACGTGTAGGTTAGATTAGTCTAACCTTTGTACGTGTAGGTTAGATTAGTCTAACCTTTGTACGTGTAGGTTAGATTAGTCTAACCTTTGTACGTGTAGGTTAGATTAGTCTAACCTTTGTACGTGTAGGTTAGATTAGTCTAACCTTTGTACGTGTAGGTTAGATTAGTCTAACCTTTGTACGTGTAGGTTAGATTAGTCTAACCTTTGTACGTGTAGGTTAGATTAGTCTAACCTTTGTACGTGTAGGTTAGATTAGTCTAACCTTTGTACGTGTATGTTAGATTAATCTAACCTTTGTTCGTGAAGGTTAGGTTAGTCTAACCTTTGTTCGTAAAGGTTAGGTTAGACTAACATTTTTACGTGAATGTTAGATTGCTCTAACCTTTGTTACTATGGGTTAGGTTAGACTAAACTTTGCCTATAAACGTCAGTCCAGATTAGCCTTTGTACGTGGAGGTTAGGCAGGATTAACGTATATGCATACAGGTATGGTTAGGTTGGATTGTATACGTACAGGTTTAGTCACTACTGTATGACTTAAACCCCCCTAATATCACATGGAGTGTAACATATTTTGGTTGCAGCAAAATCACAGATGGTGACGTCCAAAAATGATCGATTTGACGTGGAATGACTCTCGGAACATTAAACGAATGTGTATGTAATCATAATCGAAAGCTTTGAACCTATTTTGATAATGTATTATTTTTTATATATGGATTCTGCTTATCTGCGTTGAACAGTTAGTTTAACACTGTTCTCATGGATGTGGAACAATTGAAATAGCGCGATACACCGTCCTCTTTTAAGACAGGCGTTTGACGAAAATACACAAGATTGGTGGTGGTGGTTGTGGTTTGAGGTAGGTAAGCGGGTGCCTCGCTGATTATACGGAGTCTGCTTGTAATTGTGACACTAACGTAAGAGACGGGTTCCTTGTGAGATATGAAGTGCGAGATAAAGTAACAAGAATAGTTTTTTTTGCGGAACGGAGTTTATCTTTGAATTGCTTTTTGTGTGATTAAGTGATGGAACGTTGAAAGGATATCAGGTACGCGTGGAACTTAGGCTTCTACCTTAATTTGATTTATTTTGAAAGTTCGTGATTTAATATATTTGTAATGTAATTTAATTTTAATTAATAAGTTATCTCATCTAATTGTAATGCAGTTTAACTTTGTTTAAACTTTGTAATTTAATTTAATTTTTGTTTAATTAATTTTAATTTTGTAATTTGTGTAATTTATCTCATCTGTCGTTAATGCAATTTAATTTTGTTAGAAATTGCTTGTTTATTATTTGAAATAATGTTTCTGAATTTCTTAGTTTGTGAGTCTTTAGACCAATAGTTTTCTAAGTTATTCTTAAATGTCCGAATTCTTAAATTCTCAAGATTCTCAAAATTTATACAAATTTCGAAGTTTCTCAAATTTTCTAAATTCTTAAATTTCAAAATTCCAAAATTTGGTGAGGTACTAAGTTCATAGAATTCCTAGTTCCAAACTCTAAATTCCTTAGATGGAAAATTCCCTAAATTCCAAATTCCCCATATTCCAAGTTTTCCAAATTCCCCATATTCCGAGTTTTTCACATTCTAAATTCCCCAGATGCAAAATTTATCCAATTCCAAATTCCGCAAATTCCATGTTTCCCCAATTCTAAATTCCCTAGTTGCAAATTTCCTAAATTCCAAATTCCCCAAATTCCACATTCTACATTCGAAATTCCCCAAATTCAAAGTTTCCCAAACTCCAAACTTTCCAAATTCTAAATTCCCCAGATTCGAAATCCTCCAAACGTCCCCAAAATTGTCGTCGTTCTCTCTTCCCGCGCGAGAGACTCGTACCGTCTCGGTTTTCTCGTTCGTTCGAAAATTCGGCCCACTAAACCCTTAAGCGTAATGGGGTCCAGGCATCCCCACGGCCGACAGGTTTCGCTTTGCGGGACTTAACGAGGTGTTTAGCCCTTTTGGAAGCAGATAGGGCAAACAAGGGTCCGCAGTGGGCCGGGCCGAGTATTTACGAGGCTCCGGGGCTAAACTGCCGGACCTGGCCAACGATGTGTCCCTTTCATTAAAGAATTCGATCGTTTCGGTATATGAACGCCCTTAACTACCGATCGGCTTCTCTTTTACGATCGGCGATCGTAGAGGCGCGCCTAGGGGCAAACGTGTTACCGAGAAATCTCTGGATTGTTCGACTACAAACAACCGCCATCGCCTGATGTCTCTTTAAAGGAACAGCCATCACGATACCATCGAACCGCGAACCTTTTTCGGCGACGTTGATTATGGCCTTCCAATAGCGACCGATACCATCGATGAGACTACCGTGTGGAATTTATTTAGATGGCGTTATAATTGCGCTTGCAGGCGGCTCACTCTCCGTTTTATGTCTCTCTTTCCGACCTCGAAATTTGACTTTCGCGAATGAAATTTCGGCTCTTTTGGTTATGGGCTTGATTTGGAATTTTTGGGGAAATAGAGTTTGGGGTATGTTGGAAGTAGTGCATGGAGAATATTTTTTATATAATTATTATGGATTTGAATGGATTTTTGGTTTAGTGATGGTTTAGGTTATTTGTTGATGGAGGGTTGTATATTGGTGGTTGATTTTTTTGGTTATTTGTTGGAGGGTTGGTTAAGTTATTTATTGTTGGTCGTCAAGGTTATTGCTTATTATTGGTTGTTTTGATTATTTACTAAATCTGACGAAATCAAACCTAATCAAATTCAAACCAAACCTAACCTAACCCCACTTCATCAAATCTAACCTAACTAAATAAAGTTTGACGAAATCAAACCTAACCTAACCCCACTTTAGCAAATCTAACCTAATCAAGTTAGATTTGACGAAATCAAACCTAACCTAACCGCACTTTATCAAATCTAACCTAACCTCACTTCATCAAATCTAACCTAACTAAATTAAGTCTGACGAAATCAAACCTAACCTAACCTCACTTTATCAAATTTAACCTGACCAAATTAAATTTGACGAAATCAAACCTAACCTAACATCACTTTATCAAATCTAACCTAACTCAATTAAGTCCGACAAAATCAAATCTAACCTAACATCACTTTATCAAATCTAACCTAACCTCACTTTATCAAATCTAACCTAACCTCACTCAATCTGTCAATTAAACTGCTGTTTCACTTCTTAATACAAGGTTGAAATTTTTAAATAAAATAAATTGTGAATAAAATTAATTAGACACTAAAAAAAAATTATAACAATCATCACATTTTTTAAAATATAACAAAATGTAATACAAATTTTTTTTGTCCTTTGACAATTATTTGTTAACACAGCAATTAATTTTACTCTAAAAAATTGATTCTTTTATCAAATATTAATGCATATGTGAAAAATTATGATATCATCTATAATAAATAATTTATTGTCACAGTAATTAATTATATTCTCATAATTAATTAAATCAACAGTTTTAATAAAAAAAATAATGTACTTTTAAATAAATTAATTATTCTTTGTTAACTGTCAATGCATATATAACAAACTGTAAATTTAGCTACATAATTATCTAAATTAAATAATCAATTACTAAAATAATTAATTACTAGAAAATTAATTATTGGTTGTTAAGTAATTAACCATATTTTCATAAATAGCTCAATCAACAGATTTATAAGAAAGAAAATAATAATTTTCTTCTAAATAAACAAATTAATTCTTGCTAACAATTAATGCATATCTAACAATCTACATAATTACCTACAGTAAATAAATTAATGACTCCAGCAATTAACCATATTTTCATAAATAATTGAATCAAAGAAAATAACAACTTTCTCTCAAATAAATTAATTATTCCCTATTACTCAATGCACACATAAACTATAAAATTATAAAATAAAAAACGATATTATAAAATGACAATAAACAATTAATTACCACAGCAATTAACCATACCTCCACAAACAGCATCACTAATCAAAACCAATTCTTTTTTCCAAGAAAATTAATTAACCTAACCACCGTTACGAAAGTGTAACATTTTCGCGACGATATTTTTACCTGGTCTCCGTGTTCTCCCAGCAGCCGACAAACAACAAACAACAGGTAGAAAAAGATATCACCGAAATGTTCTATAATCTCTCTCGAACAGTAACGTTTATAGTCACAAACACAGACGAACGTTTAGAGCACACTTGGCCAAACGCGTCCTCGTGGAACGATAATCGAACATGTACGGTTCGCATCGGCTCTCTATCTTGCACTCTATTATCTATGAGACGCTAGCTACTTCGATACAATTGTGCCGGAGCCGCCACAATATATTTTCGCGTTCGTTTTGGCATTGTGCCGGCCTCCTCGGTTACGTTGAAATAATTTCGTCAGCGTGCATACTGATGTGTCATCCATTTATTATTAATGCCGGCGCATCGATGATCGCCACTGATTGAGCAATTAATATTAGCGGGACGAGATCGCGTTATTCGGCCATAAAGCGAGATCTGCGGCGACGCGCGATGACGGCTTTTTCGGCGAACATCGTGCAAGAGCGACAAACATTGTGCACCTTTGCGTACTACATGTACAATATACTAAAACATGAATTTCGATAGCAAATTTTTTTTTATAAAAGATAAAAATACTTAAAGTCAAGAAGTTCTTTTTAATATGTTTTGAAGCGAGGTGGGGAATTGAATGAATGCGACGAATGGCAATATAACAAACGGATAAAATACGGAGGTAAACAACAAAACAATAAGATACAATAAGAAACAATGAAAAACAATAAAACAACAAAATATAATACAAAATAAAGAAATACAATGAGAAACAATGTAAAACAACGGAATACAACGAAATACATTAAGAAACAATGGAAAACAACGAGAAATAATGTAAAATAATGTAAAACAATGAAAAACAACGGAATACAATAAGAAACAATGAAAAACAATCACAAACAACGTAAAACAATGAAAAACAATCACAAACAACGTAAAACAATGGAAAACAATAAAACAACAAAATACAATAAACAACAAAGAAATACAATGAGATACAATGTAAAACAATGAAATACAACGAAATACAATAAGAAACAATGAAAAACAACGGAATACAATAAGAAACCATGAAAAACAATTATAAACAACGTAAAACAATGGAAAACAATAAAACAACAAAATACTATACAAAATAAAGAAATACAATGAGAAATAATGTAAAACAATTGAAATACAACGAAATACAATAAGAAACAATGAAAAACAATGAGAAACAATGTAAAACAACCAGAAACAACGTAAAACAATGAAAAACAACGAAACAACAAAAAACAAAGAAACACAATGATAAACAACGTAGAACAACAAAAAATAATGAGAAACAACGTAAAACAATGAAAAACAACAAAACAAGAAAATACAATAAATAACAAAGAAAAACAATGAGAATCTATGTAAAACAATAAGATATAATAAGAAACAACGAAAAATAACGATAAACAAGAAAAAAAACAATAAAAAGCAATAAGATGTCATCAAAAAGAACGAAAAACAACGGAACAACAACAGAACAGAAAACAACCATATATTGGAAACAACGAGAAACAAAAAAAATCGAAGAACAACGAAACAACGAAAAACAATCAAAAATCGAAGAACACTAAAACAACGAACAACAAAAGAAGAAGAAACTACAAGGAACAAAATAATGGAAAACAACGAAGGACAGCATATAGTCAATTAAAAATCAAACGCTTCGTTAATAAAGTAATTTTGATCTCATAAATTGAGTGATCGCTTCTTTAATTAAGATCCGATCACTTTGTATCGAGAATGCCGAGAAAACGTGTACATAGCAATTTTAATAAGCCCTCAAGCATCGAATTAATATACAAGCGCTATTTTGCGGTAGTTTCGTATCATTGAATTTTATCAGGCTTTCCATGTATCAGAATTGACCATTTTATATTAAAAGCTTCAATAAAGAGTTCATGTAGTAATTTACGTCCAACTGAAAAATCGAAATTGATACACCACAAGTAGGGTGGATCATGGTATTTTTGTGTCATCAATTTTAATACGAAGCGACATTATAACCTTCTTCGATTTCTTTATCAAGTGAAATATATTATATTGTAAAATACGTCGTTACGATATTATTGAAGCAATTACGGGATTATTGGTTCACTGTTAAAACATTATAATGCGAGATCGAGATTATTATATAATATATTTTAGTTACAATGTTGCGTTGTTGATGATATCGGGATAATTAATATATTGCTTTATTAAAGTATCCGAAATTTGAAGAGGATAATAAACTATCTAAAATAGCTAATTAACTATATAATTACAGCACTCCAATTAGCTGATAAAGTATTTAAACTAATTAAAATAGCCTGCAAAACGATCAATTAAATAATTCAAAATTGTCAATCAATTATTAAATTAATTATTCAAGATAGTAAAATAATTCATTGCTGAAATAAAATAATTATTCAAAATTAATTAAACTATTCAAAATAATAAATAATTTATTTATTTATTTATTAAAAATTGTCAATCAATTATTAAGCTGAACAATTAAAAATAGTTAATGAAGTATTTAATTAAATTATTTTAAATAGTCAATGACCTCAAATTTTAGTTCCTCAATTACTCAAAATAAATTAAAACCACCTTAACCTTTAAACTATAGCGATTAGATGATTTGTGAATTAATGATTGCGTTGTATGATTGATACACAATGGAATGAGAATGACCTCAATCTTTAGATATCAAATGAGTAAGACTTTACACGAATTTATATCTTAAAATAGCAAATGAATAAGTTACGACAGTTTCGTTCGTCATAAATGTCACTAATAGAAAACACCTACGTTTATCAATCAATACTATGAATTTTCAAAATTAATTTACATAAAATAACTCCATATTCCTCGTGTAATTTTCAGGAAGAGCTAAAAATATTAAGACAATATAATTTTTTAATTATTACTATATTATATTATTCATTATTTATTATCCATTAATATTAATTGTAACTCATTACATTAATATAAATAATAATATTATTTATTACACAATTTATTCACCAACCCTCGTTTCATGTTTACAAAAATTATTCCAGCTTCCATTGATTGATATTCGGAAAAATAGAAAAATCTCGAACTTGTCTATTGCGCACGCACTTCGCGCAGCTCTCCTTTGCCGCACGGTGACGTAAAATGGCACTGTCACAGTGACAAAAAAATTACCGAAGATATCGACGATCAGATAAGTTTAAATCTCTCAAATTAAAGATGTAGAAATTTGGGTGTTAAAAAGAGACATAAAAGAATCAACGAATGGACAATCAGAGAACAGCGCAGGGTCGTTAACGCGATTAATAATAACGCAGGGTGTGTTGGTGCGATAGCAGCGTGGCATCACGCGGATAACGCTCGTTTCGTTTAGCTTAGCGAGCACACGCTCGCGAGTGCAAGCGAGCGAACGCATCCGGCTCGGACGACCAATCAGTATAATTATCCTACCGGTCTCCGCCGATGCTAATGCCTCGTTTTCAGCGCTGCGAACATTATACCGGTCGTCCTGCTAAAAAATCACGCTTTATCGCGTCGGAAACGTTTAACCCTTTCATCGAACGGACTGCAGCTGTACGACGACAGAAAACTATGTTTTCCGGTGAAAAAAGTACGTGTTTTTTATTCCAAAAAATTTAGTTTCAGAAATATTGTAAAATTGGAAAAATTATTTGAAATAATTTTTATAAAATTATGTAAGAAATTATGGATGCTTAAGATGGTTAGAGATTTCAGTATTATAAATTTCAAAAATATTTTTAAAAATACGTAAGATTATTATGTGTGTGTATATATGTACACATGTGTTTATTTTTATATAATATATATGTGTTTATAAATCAATGCATAGTTATATATGTACATAAATGTATATCTGTGTATATGGATCAATGCCTACCTGTATATATAAAAATCAATACATATGTATATAAATCAATGTGTACATATGCATAAAGAATCAATGCACCAACATATATATATAAATCAATACATATGCATATAAAACAATGCGCACATATGAATAAATGTATACTACGTACAAAGAACAAATGCATATCTATAGATCAATACATATGAATAAAATAACTACGTATTAAAAATCATAGTTATGTACGTACACAAATGAACAGCCGAACACGAAGATATCGAAAAAACGGAAGTGCAGGAAGATAGCACGTCGCATGCACGCGAGATTGCGCAGAGAGAATCGAAGAAAGTTACCTGAAGAAGGGCAATCAATATCGTCGAACGCAGCCAGTGGGCAGACGGCACCGAAGCATGTTTACAAAAGAAAAGAGAAAAGAAAATGTCTGTGTCGGTTGTGTTCGTTGGACCGAGACAATGAAACCGGGACACAGAATCACGGCAGAGAATGTGGAAGAAGGCAGTTGAGCTAATTCGGAACGTGCCGGTATACGAAACGCTTCCGCACTGTTCCTCGAATCCCTGTTCATCGTCGATTTCACGAACAGTTGTAGCCTCGCCAGGTCTCTTTCTGTTGGCTGCTTTGCAAAGGTTGTCGGTCCTCGTCACGCGAACCCCCGGAAAGGTTCATCGGGTTCTCTTCGGCGCAGAACACGGATACCGAATTTATATATATCTGTGTGTGTATATGTCGGAAAGGCGGCATGATTAGTCGCTCATATTCCACGAGTATCCCATCTTTCAGAACAGAACATACATCAACCGCGAACGTACACAAAACAACACAATTTTTATTGGTTAGGAACACGCACAACTGTCACTTTATTAGCGTTGGTAGAACACATACACTTCGAACAGAAAAGAATAAAAAAAGAAACTATTTCTCACACTCAATACCACGATGCAAAGAATGCTGTTTATTATAATTTGCGGTGTCCGCGCGACTGGCGTTTGTTTCGAGTATCGACCGGCTTCATCGATCGGAACATAACCTGCAAGCGGTTAGAGCCCGCCATGCGGTTACAGTGGAAATCTCGCACTTCGTAAATTCACACTCAAGTTTATATTGTCATCTTTTCTATTGAATATATTATTGTTATAAATACACCGGCACACATAACTAAATATACTTATATTAAAAAATATAAAAGGGGTAGTAATATTCATATTAATATTAGTACGTGTCTTTGAACGAACCGGATGCTACTAAATTAATGGACAGACGCTAGCATACGTATTGGCGTAGACTCTGTAAGGCGGGAAAAACAAATCCCTTCAAATATGCATGTGTACGTGTTCCGTATATACGAGTCGACAAATCCGTATTACCTAGTGAAAATCTGGATAAGGAAAGGGAATTCGGGTCTCAATTTTTATGGAGATATTTATGTGTAAAAATTTGAAAATTCAGAAATTCAAAAGTAGAGAAAAAATATTTTTGAAAAATTAAATTTGAAAACTTTGCTAACAAGAAAATCTGCAAAATACAAGATTGAGAAATTAAGTAATTTGAAAAGTTAAAAAACTATAAATGAATAAATTGAAAAATGGTGAAGATGTTAAATTAATGTTTAACCACAGGAAGCGAAGATTGCAGCCGACTGTACGGTGTTGTGGCTCGTGCTACGAGAAACGTGGGAAGATTCTCAGGCCTGGAAGCCGTTCGTGTCCCCACCATATGCAACGAACACGCGTTGCAACTTCTCTGCGTGTGCATTCTGCATCATCGTATATGCATCGTGGGCACACGTTCATGCTTCGGTGATCAGACCTCTTTGTGATTCGGGAGTCGTGCATGCTGGAATTTCATCGCGATTACGTTTGTTAATTAACAGTATCTTTCATTTAATGTCAGATGTACGAATAGATAGTAAAGTGTAATACCACTACCAGGGTCGGTGCTGTTAATGAATTGTAATATGTGGGAATCAGAAAGTTTCACAACTTCAGATTTTGGAAAGTCAAGGACCGAGAAATTTCGGAAGATGAGGATTTCGAAATTGGGGATTTGAAATTTAAGACTTCTACATGAGGGATTTTAGGTTTTAAAAATTTTGAAATGTTTAAAAATTTTCAGAACCAGAAAATTTTCAAGTTCTCCAAATTAAAAAATTTAAATTCCCCAAATTCTAAGATTATTAAATTTCTAATATTTGTATGACTTCCTAAATTCCCCAGATTTCTAAATTCCTTATGTTTCCTAAATTTCCTTAATTCCCCAAATTTTTTAAATTTAAAAATTCCAAAAATATCAAGTTTCAAAATTCCCTAGATTCCCTAAATTCCCCAAATTATGCAATTTGCAAATTCCGAAAGTATTAAGTTTAAAAATTCCCCGAATCCCATGATTTCTAAATTCCCTAGATTCCCTTTTTGAAAATTCCCTAAATTCCTCCAACCCCAAAAATTCCTTAGATTCCTCCAATCCCACAAATTCCCTAGATTCCCGCGATCTCATAAATTCCCTAGATTCCCCCAATTCCCTGATATTTCCGAATCCCAAGAATATCAAATATCAAGATTTCTAAATTCCCCAAATTGCGAAATTTCCAAATACCAAAAGTATTAAGATTCAAAATTCCCACAATCTCAAGATTTCTAAATTCCCTAGATTCCCTCTCTTTGAAAATTCCCTAAATTCCTCCAACCCCCAAAATTCCTTAGATTCCTCCAATCCCACAAATTCCCTAGATTCCCGCGATCTCATAAATTCCCTAGATTCCCCCAATTCCCTGATATTTCCGAATCCCAAGAATATCAAATATCAAGATTTCTAAATTCCCCAAATTGCGAAATTTCCAAATACCAAAAGTATTAAGATTCAAAATTCCCACAATCTCAAGATTTCTAAATTCCCTAGATTACCTCGATCTCACAAATTCCCCAGATTCCCCAATTCCCTAAATCTTGAAATTTCTAAATCTCAGAAATATCAAATTTCAAGATTTTCAAATTCCCTAGATTCCCTAAATTCCTCAAATTCCGAAAGTATTAAATTTCAAAATTCCCCAAATCTCAAGGTTTATAAATTCCCTAGATTCCCACACACCGCAAATTCCCTAGATTCCCCCAATTATCAAATTTCAAAATATCCCAAATTTTAAGATTTCGAAGTTCCCTACATTCTCTAAATTCCCCAAATCCCTCAAATTCGTCAAATTTCCAAAAATTTCTAAAATACCTAAAATCTCAAACTTTCAAATCGTCATCAAAACTTGAAAACCCGTCAATGACAAATCACTGCATCTTTCACATGTATCCATACATCAAAACCCACAACACATCCTCTCTTAATCACAAAATTACCAACGTATCAATTACGCGGACAAAGGCGTCAACCACTATACAGAAACGGTCCAAATGGTTCGCACTTCTGTTCAAGGTTCAGTAAGTGTCCTAAAACTTTCGTTGGACCAATGACCATAGCAATCGGGGTCTTAACGAAATCAATAACAATAATACTTTCGTGTCGCCGTACAGGTATACCCGTGTACACAGAGACACACGTGTGCAGGAGAGAACGTGTCTCGATGTGGGAACATAGAGGCGTCGTGGTTTACTCTGGTCCCGATCGCATTGTGCATCGAGCCGTGAGTCCTCTTTGTGTATGGCAGAATAGCCAACCTGGCCGGCAATGTAACCTTACCGGTGGCCCCATTGCCGCTTGTTGTGCACATAATACGACGCTATTGTACCGAGCACGGGCCATATTGTTCACCGCATCTCGATCGGCACCCTGCAGACGACTACGCCACCAAATATCCCTTGCTTCCTCCTTTTTCCCTTCGTGGATCCCCTTTCTTTTACGGGACGCCATGTCTTGCCCGAACTTCCTCGCCCTTCGTATTCACGCTGGATGAATCACTGCGAATTTCTTCGGACGACGTGCTGAGCAATGCAGTGGGATAATAAGGGATCGAGGGAATTAATTACGTGATTTAATTAGATTTTAATTGGGCGGCGGATTTTTTTGAGTTGTTATTACTCTTTGGATGATATTTGTGATTTAGGAATGTGTGCTGTGGGAACTTTGAGAAATTTTTTATCTGAGGATTTTGCGATTTGAGAAAGTTAGAGTTAGGACATATTACGGTTTGAGAAAGTAGGAATTAGAGAATACGGTCATTCAGAAATTTTTGAAATTTGAGGAACTAAGAATATATAAAATTTGGAAAATGAGAAATTTGATAAATTAGGGAATTTTCGAAATTTGGCACTATTAAAATTTCGGAATTTAGGGAATCTAGGGTATTTCGAAAACTTGAAATTTGAAAATTTCGGGATTTAGGGAAGTTGAGGAATTCAGGAAAAATCTAGGGATTTTTGAGAATTTATGAAATCTACGGAAATTGTAGGGAAATCTAGGGAATTTGTAGAATTAAGGAAATCTAGGGAATTTGTAGAATTGAAGAAATTTGGAGAATTTTGGAAATGGAGGAAATCTAGGGAATTTTGGAAATTTACGTGATCTAGGGAATTTTGGGGAATCTAGGGAATTTGGGGAGTCTAGGAACTTTTGAAAATTTATGTAATCTAGGCAGTTTTTCAAATTTGGTGAATCTAGGGAATTTTGGAAATTTATGTAATCTAGGGAGTTCTTGAAGTGGGGTAAATCTAGGGAATTTTGGAAATGTAGGAAGTCCCGGGAATTTGGGAATCTAGGGAATTTTGAAATGTTACAATTTTCACAGTTTGAAAGTGGTGAAATGTGAAAATTTTCAAAATTTGGGGAATTTCGAAATTTGCGAATTTTCAAAATTTAGTGATTTTTGAAATTTGAGTATTTGGTAAATTCGAAAAATAGAATATTTGAAAAATTGTGTAGTTTGTGAAATTAGAAAATTTCGAAATATTGGAATTTCGAAAATTGACAATTTATATACGTTCATATATAAATTATTTTATTACATATTTTTCTGCACATAAAATATGTATATAATAAATATTAATTATCGTTAATATAAATATTAATAAATAATAATGAATATTAATTATCATTAATATTTAGTAATATAATAATTGTTATTTATTATTATCAATATGTACGCATTGTGTACATATCAAAATATATTATCTGTATCTACATTTAGTTTTGTTAACAGAAAATATAATTGAGAATCCTAAAATAACGGTCACTAATATTCTCTCGTTTTGGATGATTTGTTCCGTATCCGTGTTTACACCGCAGTTTACGCGAGTGTAAAATGATGTTAGTACACGAGTGAACAAATTTCGTGCGAAACAGGAAAAGTTGGTAACACGAACCCTTAAAAGCCAAGCCAGTTGGCACCTGAGTGCAAATGGTAATCGATAACATCACAGATTTGAGCTACCGGTAGAAGTTTGATGCAATACTGCAGATGGCTAACGTGAGGTCGTCAGTCAGGAAATTAAGTTTCGTGTTGCCCTAAATTAATACCTGCTTCCTTCTTATCCGAGGAGGAACCGATTCTACTAAACACTTTCGTGTTTTACTCATTCAATCAAGAGAAATTTTAATCAATTTCAAAAATACATTTTTATCATTTTCAAATCTGTGCATTTTTATATTTTGTTATTTGTGAATTAATAATTTCTGTATTATTTAATTTTTACATATTATATTTAACTTTATATTATTTATTTATATTAATTTTATTTATTCATACTGTCGTACTGGAAAATGCATTATTACCGATACGTGACCTTTTTCGAGGAATACACGGGGTACGTGATTCTTTTGTTTTACATTCGAGCCCGTGTGCGTAGCGGGCGAACGTTGCGTCAGTCTTCGCCGAACTTTCATAGATTAAGGACTTTGTTAGGACGTAAGAAATAAACGCATAATTGTGACCTTGCGCAGTTTTTATTTAACCTTCTCTGCTAACACATACTGATTTTATTTATTTTAATTAATTTATTATGAGTAACATTAAATTCATTCATATTAGTTTGTATAATATTAATTAAAATAATTTTTAATGAATTTAAAATACTAACCACAAACAAATATAAAATTAATATTATTATATTCTTCATTCGTTTAATCATAATTATTATTTTTAACATTTTACAATTATTGACAATTATTTTCAATCTTAGAAAACTATATTTATAGTATAATACATAGATAATTAATAAACCCAAAAATTTATTAGCTCACTTCGTTTCATGCTAATAAATTTTTCAGGTTTTCTTAAATTCATTACAAATATAATTCGACCATTAAGGAATTGGCGCCACTTTTATTAATCCCGCATCTTCAA